AGAGCCAACAGTGGTTGTGAAGTCAGAAGACACACAGTGTCTACCTAGTGTATACCATCCCTCTTTACCCTATCTGAGTCACTCCTATTTTTTTTTTTTTTTGCCAAAAATGTTTATATTTAAATGAAACTGTATGTGATCAGGGATTTTAAAAAGAGAAAACAATATATACATGCAGTGAAAGGACTCAATCTTTTGTAAAAGGGAATAGTGATTGGTTGAAGTGCATATTGGTTTTAACTTGCGCACTCTAGTTTTCCTAGACTATAAAATAAACAAGCTAACTTTCACTATGCATGCTTACATTGGCCATTAATATGGCCCACCAAACTCTTAGCCATCCTTCTTCATCCTCTTTCCCCTCATGGAAGCCACTCTTCAAGAAGAACTCAGTCTTCTCTGTTAAGATCCCAGTGGTCTCTCCTTACCCACAATCCTTCTTACAGTCTTGGCATCATGTTTGGATCTGAACACTTGGGTTCTTTCCTCTGTGTCACTAATTATTTGACTCCAAAAGAATAAGAGTTGCCCTGACCAGTTTCTCAGTAGTTAGAGCATGAGCCTGCGGACTGGAGGGTCCTGGGTTCAATTCTGATTAAGGGCACCTACCTCGGTTGCAAGCTCAGTGTCTAGCCTGGTTAGGGTGCATGTGGGAGGCAACCAATTGATGTATCTCTCTCAGATTGATGTTTCTTTCTCTGTGTCTCTCCCCCTCCCTTTCATTCTCTCTAAGCAATCAATGGGGAAATATTCTCGGTTGAGAATTAACAACCAAAAAAAGGAGAGAGTGGTAACATCTAAAAAGGGCCTCTTGTGTTTCCATAAAATGCTACGAACTTACACATACATGGAGACCTTCAACTCACCTGGGCCAATGGGTGTATTTTTTAGACAAACAAACTGGGATTCCAAGGCTGGAGTGATTTGGTGGAGGTTTTCTAGATGGTGGCAGAGAATGGGCAGGAACCTACATCTCCCATTTCAGTGCTGTTTCTACCACAAAGTGCTGCTGCTCTCCATCATTCATAAATATGACTTAATCTTTTATAAAAGTCAAAGAAAGATAAAGCAAGCCCTTCCAAATAATAAGAGTATTCAGTGCCTTCTGACTGAGAGATGAAAAGCAAGATTTCTAAGGAGGGACTGGAGAAAAACAAACAATGTTATAATGGGAAACAACATTAGCAGTGGTCCCTAGAACTTACATTTGGGGACATGCTGGTGATGGAGGTTGGTGCCAAGGGAGATGCTTGTTCTCTGAGACCTGCAGACATGAAGCTGGCTGCTGCAGGAGATATGAGAAGGCGCTGACATATTTTCATGTTCCTGGCAGGTATTTTCTAAGTGCAGCGTTTTCAGGTTTGATTCTGAATGGGCACCTGGTATTTTCATACTGCAGGACAGTATTGAAGGACATCATCTGTTTTCTCAGCACCACATGTAACCCAGTGGCTGCTCTGGAGCCTGGTGTCTGTCCATTCTGATAGCTACTTTCTATTTGAAGGAGAAAGATTTATAACAATATGTCTTCTGTTTGTTGCATTGGTTTGGTAACCTGATGTAATTGAATTACATTTAAAATAAGAACTAAATAGAAATTTTGAAGGAGAAAAAAAAAAGCTTGAATTCTTATGAAAGGAGCACATCACTGTCCTCCTGCCTTTTGTAAAGTGGGTTTAAATATTTATTACATGCATGGTTTATTGAAGGGATGAGATAGAATATGCATTACTGCATCTTAGTTCAAAATTTAAATAGAAGTCTTCTTTGCTTAAATTGGATTTTCCTTTCCACCAAAATAATCACAAAAATAGCATACAAATATAAAGTTATAATATATCTGCTCTGTTTTATATTAAAAACACTTCTGAGCTCAGTGTGTCCTGAACTTAGATCGATAGTACATTGAAAAGTACAAACTCTTTGCTCTTTTATGAGGCATAATTGAAAAGAACAAATTCTAGGAAAACTATTGCTAATGAATAATAATTATAGGTTTAATAAAGGGATGTGTTGAAATGGAACCTTCAAACCAAGGCCAAGTTATTCATCAGATAACCTTTGAGTATGCCACAATAGCCAAATTCTCTGTAATTATACAATCTTTTCTAGCAAGAGAAAGAAGTAATGGTATGCATCAATCAGTCTAATGACAACTTTATTTTCCAAAAGTCCCCTTAAGGACAGCTTCCAATGAACTTGGAGAGGTAATGAGGCTAGGTCATATCTGGGATGGAAAGCACTTAGGTTTGTATATTATTTTCAGATAATTTGGCAGCTCACACAGCTAAATTAACAAAAAGCTAAAATGTTAACAGGAATATTAACCTTGTCAGATTATGAATTGAGTCAAAATTTATCATATGTGCCAACATATTGAGCTTTTCTTTCAAGGTATAACATTTTGTAAGAGAAGAAAGACAAATGTAAAAGTGTCTTGACTCACCACATTTGAGTGTAGGCTCCTATTTGAGGCTCACCCCATGGTCCAAGGCTGTGATTACCGAGCAGACACATGCTGACCTCATCACACAGATTCTGTGCATGAGCTCTATAGGAGGTCTCACAGTCCACCAGGGCACCAGAAATGCATGGTAATAGAGAACTTTGGGCTCTTATATTTCTCTGGTTGAGTGTTGGCAAAATCTTTCTTCCAGTCTAAACTCACACAGATTCATGAACACTTTTAGAAAGGAAATCTTAGTCCAGTTTAGTTTATTCAACATGTATTTTTCAAGTTAGCTTTAAAAAAAAAAAGCCAGCCATTCATCTACATTTTGGTGTAAAATACATAATTTACATTGGGTCATTAAGTGATTCTACAGCCAGGGAAAAGAATTACTATATTTGATTCTTCTTTTTTGTTCATGGAATCTGTCTTTGGAAGTTGGCATATTCTTAATAGAGAATCCAGGAGGAAGAGAGAAGAAATTTCTTTTTTAGGTTTACCCCAAGAAGACCCTAAGAAAAGGCTAATTTAGTCACTAGGTTTAGTCACTAGGTTGGGAAGTGGTTTCAGGTAGGAGAGTGAGGGAGGTAGGTCAGCTATTAAAAGGGGCTGCGGGTGGCAACAGGGGCTCAGAACTACTGGAGACCCTTGGGAAAGTATGTATTATAATATGCTCAGATCTCCCCAAGGACGGTGATGGATACAGAAGGTGGGGACAATTCCATTAAATTACTTTCTTATTGGTTGGGACACAGGAACCCAGATTTATAAAGGAACAGACTGCAAGTGACCTCTAAAGAAGGCATAGGGAATGTGGGTAGGCCACTGACATCGTTGACTATAAGAAGCATAAGTAGAAATGAATGTAAATGTTAGGAAAGTCTACTGGTTGCTTTAAATTCAACAGAAGACTGTGCTGAATCTTCATGTACACACAGGTTATTGTCATAAAATGGTAAAGTAGAACTAAGCTGAGCATTGTGGCCTGGTGCATTTTATTTTCCTTAGCCCTGGACTCATCTGTCACCCATTCGAAAGAGGACAAAATTGGTTTTAATCTAGCTAAGCTGATTGTCAGACATCTCTATAAACACACAGAATCCTCTGGGATTTCTAAATAGATAGGCTAGGTCCAGATTCATAATCTGCTGTGTTCTACATACTAACATTCCTTATCACAGTTTTAGAAGTTAACAGATTTATATTCAGTGCCTATTTGCTTTGATAATGACAGAGATTTTATGGCATTTCAGAGCAATGGAAGAAAGATCAACACTCGGTTATGCCAGTTCATGGAGAACTGAGGTCCCTCTATAGGCACGTATTCTGTCTCCTGTTGACTTTGCACCTAACTTTACCTGGAGCAGGCTGGGATGGGCTTTGATGAGAATCAACCCATCTCCATTAAGATGCACTCCTGGACCACCCTCTGTCCCTCATGGGTAGTTCCCAACAGCCACCTTAGTGATGTGTATAGGAGATGGCCCTGAAAACCTGGGAGCAAAGCCCAGTTTCCCCTCAGCCCCTACTGTCTCATCACTTTGTTCATAAACACACGTATGAGAGAGAGAGAGAGAGAGAGAGAGAGAGAGAGAGAGAGAGAGAGAGAGAGAGAGAGAGAGAGAGAGAGAGAATGTGGAAGATGGAGACATATTTCATTCAAAAATATTTATCAACATAGAATACCACAATAAATATTAAATCTGTAATACTTGAAGAAAATGTTTTCTACAGTAGATTAACATTTAAAATACTTTAGGATTAATATAAACTATCAAAAAAGGTTGCCCATCTGTAATACTTTTCCTAAAATGTGTGTGTGTGTGTGTGTGTATCACATTTTTCTTGAAAATGGAAAAGTACTACTCTAGCTAAATAAGTATATATTAAAATAAGTATAATATTGCATGCTACTGTGTACTGAATTTACTGAATTTAGAAAACAAACATACAAGAAAAGCTCATAGCAACTTTTTGCCTTCCACCAGTAGTTTTTTATAGATGACATTTTGCAGAAGCTAATATTCCTGATATTCTGTCTTTATAATAGTTCAAAATCACTAAAGAAAATTGAATGTTCATTATAGAGGAAATTAAATAGTTGAAAATATTTATCTTATTTAGGAAATGTGGAGTATTGGTTGACTTTCTAAAGTGCAATAAAGCACCTCATCTCTCCTATGAGCAAGCCAGCAAAAATGAGTGTTTTCTATCTTAAACAAACAACTGGTTTCTGGCATTCTAAACTTATTTCTGCTTTACTACATTAGAATCAAAGTGGATAAATAATAATATCCTTGGGGAAATAACTTTGCCTCCTTTTTTTTCTCCGCACTGAAGAACACATGATTATAACTAAATAAATAAAACAACACACTCTGACCTTAAACATTTTGATTTTTTTCAATGTGTAATCCTAGAATCTGTATTTTTAACTCATTGAAAGTAGTCCTCGAATTGGCTGTGCTACAACTCAGTGATGTTTTTGAATATTACTTGATGCTCCCTTAGTTATTGGAACTCTCTGTCTTCCTTCCGCACCTTGTTTCAGGAGCGGCTCCTGCTGTCCCTGCTGCCAGCTCACATAGCCATGGAAATGAAAGCTGAGATTATCCAGAGGCTGCAGGGCCCCAAAGCCGGCCAGATGGAAAACACAAACAACTTTCACAACCTGTACGTCAAGCGCCACACCAACGTCAGGTATACTGCTCTGTTCTTTCTCAGCAAATCTGAGGAGCCTGTTCACTGCAGTGGGGACATTTTTAACTGGAAGCCCACATCTTACAATGGCATGTCTCCTTTGCAATCGTTAAACCTTGGCATGTAGAGTAGTTACTCCTTCGCTCACCCTTGTGCTGCCTCGTGGGGCCTTCATGTTAAGAAAATAGGATCCTCTAATTTATTGTGTTGTCCCACTTAGCCCTGATTTCTATGCTGACCATCACAAAAGGAGGATAGGTGGACGGTGGTCCTCATTCTGGGAACTCCATGATCTGAACTCATGTTCCGGGGGGGGGGGGGGGGGGGGGGCTAGGACACTCAGCCTTGCAGGGAGATTGGAGGATGGGTTGGTGGCTCTCAGCACAAGGTCGAGTTCTCACAGTGGGTTTAGCAGACAGGTCTCAGAGAAGCCAGCACTTTCTAGAGAATCTAGATATTCATCAGGAATGAAGGGGTTTTTGGAGTGTGGTCAATCAGTGACCAACATCCCAGGAGACTGATGTACAGCATAATTATAGTCAAAGTTACTGCTTTTCAAAGTCTGGCTTAGTCATATCTCCTTGGGAGCCATTCCTGGAATCACAGTCCCTGGAATCAGATGGGATTGGGGTCAGGAAGGAGAACCCTGTGGGGCGGCTTGTTCTCATGCATGTATTTGGTCTCATTCATTATGTTTTGATGTTAATACTTCAGCTGTCCCAGTTACCCACCACCCTGTTCAATAGTTCAATGCTAACAACTACAAAAAAACAAAATTTGTTAAGCATTGACTAGAATTGGGATAATTGGGGCCAGCCTGTTCTTTCCCAAGTCCAGGCTCTTTCCAATGCATGATACTGCCTTCTGGTGTGGTTGCTTCAGGTCAAGGATTTAAAAACTCATTAATAAGAAATAAATTTAATTGCAAAATAAATACATTACTGAAACAAATCTCACTTTGACAACAGATTTTAGAAAAGGTGCATAGAGCTAGTGATATACTTAAGAAATGCCTATTGAGAAGGAGATAATAGAAAAATGGTTGCATATTAAGTAAGAACTGTGAAAGCACCTTTGAATAAATGAAGAATCGGGAGTGGTTTTTTCTTTTTAAGTCCCACCATTTGGGGAGATAGATTAAAAATTAAAGAACATTTACACAGGATTAGGAGTAAAATTATTTAAAATAGTATCTTCCAGTTTTTAAGTTTCATACATACATAACTAAAGAAAAAGTTTGAATTATCTGGCAATGTATATTATACTAGAATTAACCTCTTCCAACCTTGACTGTGTGAGAGTCAGCAATGCCCCTCCCATTTCAGGAAATATTTTTAAGTCACATATCAGCTATTCAAAACATGTGAAGATACATGCAACTATATCTAGGATCACAGAATATCCAGAATCACAAAATATCCATAAGTAGTTATGACACAATGCAGGAACCAACAGACCTATAAAAATGACTAATGATAACCACTAACCTCAGGTTTCTCCTGCTATTAGTTACCAGTTTCTTTGTAATGAATTTCCCCAAAATAAGAATAAATATTGTCTCCCAGTTTCTATGGGTGGGAATTTGGGAGCATCTAAGCCAGGCAGTCATTAGTTGTTGGTCATTTCTGTGGGATCCCACCCACTGTGGGAGGGGACAGTACAGATGTGAGCGGCAGGAGGTGAGAATCCCTGGGGTCACCTTGGAAGCTGACTGCCTCACTGGCTATGGCAAAGGGTTTGGGAAGCAGCTTCAATGCCCTTAATTTCCATCACACATTGTCTGGAATATGTTTGCAGTATTGAATTAAATTTAAATTCATAAAATATATTTGGAATCCAAAAGTGATTTAAATACTTAAAAATGTAAAACCTTAAAAGGCATGAAATAGCAATATTTTAAAAAATGTATATGTGAAGACGTGGCTTTTTTGTCCTGCAACAGGACATGTGCAAGCAAAGAAGCAGGTAACACCTGCGTGTTTGGGATGGGGGGTTTTTCAGTGAGAATTATTAGGTTTGTAGGTAGTACCAAAGAGATCAGTTACTTACTTTTTAGTTCTGCTTTGACTGTTCATTCAACAAAGCATTTATTCTCCATTAATAATAATTACTAGCTCTTTGTTATGCAATGATAATAACAACAACAATAATGATTATAATGATAAGGAAATGGCAAGGAGGGGGAGGAAAAGACAATTTATAGCCATAAAGGTAAGAACTACCAGCTGCTTCCTGAATCTTCCTGGTCTTCCTCCAAGTCCCTCCCACTGGTGCTGAAACATCACAAACCCATCAGATCTTTAAAAATAGACAGTCTCTTAGCCCAATGCCACCACCCACCTCTGAAATGACCTTTCTGCCTTTCAGAGCTCAGATTCTAGAGATTTTTTCCACTCTCTCTGACTTATCTTTATTTCTTCACTCACCTCAAATCAACACTTTCTGGCTTTAACATCCCCATGTCACAGGACTCATTCTTGCTAAATTCGCCAACTGTCTTGTCCCAGATCTGTGTCTGACAGACTCCCACACCCTTCTCTCAATGACTGCCTTGGCCCTTGCCCTTGCACTCACAGATTTATCCCCATCCCTCATATTCCTGACATCCTATCCCCTTTGTTTTATTTCTACAGTTTCCTTGGTTGTTTTCTCTTCCCTAAATCTAACCTCTCCTATAAAATTAGTGTCTTGCTCTTTTTTGTTCTCTCCAGCTCTCTCCCAGGATTTAATTATCATCCACATGGTGCTGAGACACAGCACTCAACCATAGTTTTCCGTACTCATCTACCTGATAATGGGCGTCTTCCTTTGGATGTTCTGCAAACACCATCCAACTCCATGCAATCAAAGCTGAATCAGACATCTTCCCCTGCTTTGACTTGTCCCACTGGCATTAAGGGAGGCTGCACTGTCATTCCCTAAGAGTGACTTTCCTGGACTCCTCACCATCTAATTCCCACCTCCTGCCCAACTCCCCCTCCCCCTCCCCCCCCCACACACAAACCCACACACCATTCTTTCTTATAGCAGCCTGTTGTTTTCTTTTATAGAACTTATTATCATTGTATTAGGACATTTTTTGGTATCTTTATTTGTTTAATTCATCCAACTAAACTCTGAGCTTTAGGAAGATGTACCCTGATTGCTCATCCCGGCTGGTAGAAGTAATCCAGAATCTTTTGTTAAGAAGACTTTCTTTTAAGAAGCTTATTATTTCAGGAAGCTTTAAATGAATAAAAACAGGATTTTAGCTTTTATTATTTTACTGTTTCTACGTATAGGAATTCTAATAATACAAATTTATGTAACAGATGGAAGCAAACCCATTTGATAGCAGGAATGGACTGTCAGGATGACTACTAAGTAAAGCAGAAGGAGAGAGGGCCTGAACCTGAAAGAGACAAGTGATCAGGAGAAATAGACTACAATAGAAAAATGCATCATATGACCAATTTTCTCTCATTTTAATTATAAAAATTTAACATAAAAGTGTACTGGGAATGTTTAACAAAGTGTTTATTCCCTTTCCAGGGAAATGACATTTTTCTTTTGAAAATATAAAATGAAAATAAGAGAGTATATACTATTTTAATAGAGAAATCTAGCATTACCTTCTCAATGAATATAAAGTTGCAAACACTACCCCCTTTGTTCATTCCCACAGTATCCTCTATGCTGACATTGTTGGGTTCACCCGCCTGGCCAGTGACTGCTCCCCAGGAGAACTGGTCCACATGCTGAACGAACTTTTTGGGAAGTTTGATCAAATTGCAAAGGTAAGTATTAGTGATTCTCTTTCACTTTGAAGATATATAAAAATTTAGCTTACTTTTCCTCTGGCCCTTATCAACTTTTTACTGTTTTACAAAAGGCTTCCTTTAGGAATGTTTGTAAATGTGTTGGATTTATTTTCCATTGAGCCCTCCTGATAAGTCTCCAGCCTAACTCAAGGGTGAGAAATGTCATAGCATGTAATTAACACATTTTTATCTATTTTAAAACTTCTGCTTATATATAATTCAGCACACATATAATAAATACATTTTGAATTATGAGATTTAATTTGCATATATCTGTGCACTGTGCTACTTGAAGGTCCTTTTTTTAGGCTTTTGATGTCAAGGAGTTGGAAACATGGTTTCCTCTCATATATATGTGTGTGTGTGTGTGTGTGTGTGTGTGTGTGTGTGTATCTATATATCTATATCTATATCTATATCTATATCTATATCTATATCTATGCAGCCATCGCAACCAAAACAACTGAATGGATGACCAAACAGACTGCTTGGGGTGACTAGGCCGGCGGGGGAGGGCAATTGAGGGCGACCAGGCCAGCAGTGGGGGGGCAGTTAGGGGCAATCAGGCAGACAGGCAAGTGAGCATTTAGGAGCCAGTGGTCCAGATTGTGAGAGGGATGTCCAACTGCTGGTCAGACATGCCCTGAGGGGTCCCAGATTGAAGAAGGTGCAGGCTGGGCTGAGGGACATCCGTCTAGTGCATGATTTCCGTGCCTTTAGTCCAGTTATAACTATCATGTTGTAACTATCATATATTCACATTATTAATAAGCATCCTAAAAAAACCCCTAAAGTAGGATGCATAACTTCTCCCTAAGCCCTTTATTTACTATTATCTTCCTTTCATTCATTGATCCTTGTGCCATCAAGAAAGAAATAAGTTCAGTAATTGCTATTTATTTGTTCATTTATAAGAAATTTTATGGAGAGGAAATGATGACAAGTGATCTAAAACCACATTAAACCTTATTTATTGGAGCTGTTAGGGTTTGTGGTGGGCATATTGATAAAACATTTTCTCTCTCTTTCCCTTTCTCTGAAATTGATAAAAATAATAATAATAAAATATAGAAAACAGAGCTGAAGGCATCACACATTTTTATTTCAAAATATATTATGAAGCTACCATAATCAAAACAGTGTGATACTGGCATAAAAATACACTTATAGGCCAATAAAATAGAATAGAAAGCCCAGAAATAAACCCATGCATATAGGGCCAACTGATCTTTGATAAGTGTGTCAAGAATTCACTATGCTTAATATTGCAGATTTCTGTATTCTAGATTCAGAATATTTATGTAGGAAATATGATAAAGAATCCTTATCAAAAATATTTGTTTGCCATTTTTATTACTTATTAGATGCCCAAGTAGCACATATGATCTAATTAGCATATTATGTTTTTATTATTATAGATGATACTGATATTAGGAATTGCTAGCAAGCCATCTAAAGTGCTGTAGATAAGCTTGAAAATACACCCATTCTCCATCAGACAGGGAAAGAATTATGCAAAATCTCTATAAATCTACAGTATGCTTTAGAACAAAAAAAATGTATATTCATTTTATTATTTCAAATGTGTTCAATTTATACATAAGCCTGAGTTTCTGTTAGGAAGGAAAAGAAAATCTGTGTTTGGTTTTGGTTTTGGATTTTTTTATTTTAGTGAAAAGTCTATAAGGTAGATGCAAAGATTAGAAATAAGTGTAAGATTGATGCATATGAATGAAGTTGATCTCCATATTATAAAAACAACCCAGACAAGAAAAATGATGAGTTAGTCTGACTTTATAGTTAACTGGTTGAATCTGTCAGAATTGTTTTGTTTTGTATTGGTTGATTTTAGAGAGAAAGAAAAGAGTTGGGAAAGAGAGGGATTTGTTATCTACTTATTTATGCATTCCTTGGTTGATTCTTGTATATGCTCTGACCCGGGATCTAACCTGCAACCTTGGCATATTGGGCTGAGACAATGCTCTAAACCACTGAGTTACCCAGAGAGGGCAGAATTGTTTTAAATTACTTTACAGTAATGGATGGTGCCTTATTATATGATGGAAATGTGTATCAGAAGCTACATGTCTGTAGGTAAGAACCTTTCATAAAAAAAAAGACTGTGAGCATAGTAGGGAATGACATCGATTCTAATTCCATTGACATTCTGGTCATTGTTTTCTGCCCTGCATAGAATGTTTCATTTCAGCATCAATGTTTGGGGATGTTTACAGGAAGGAGAATGATCCTATCTGTATATTCCTTTGCTTGTATTAAGAAGAAATAATTCCAGAACATTCTCTGTTTCCCCTTTCATTCCCTTTCCCTTCTCCCCCTACTTTGGCAAATGGGCATGTGAGTGATGGTGGCTCATTCTTGATGGGTAGTGAAAAGAAACCCAACTTGTTCTCATTTCTCTCCCCATGATTCCTACTCACTCTGTCAGTAGGATTAGCTCTTGATGATACTCTGCAAATTTAAATTGTTATATAAGTGCTTTAATGCAACTGAAATTCTGTGATCATTTTTTTCTTCCAGGAAAATGAATGTATGAGAATAAAAATTTTAGGAGACTGCTACTACTGTGTGTCTGGACTCCCAATATCTCTCCCCAACCATGCCAAAAATTGTGTGAAAATGGGACTGGATATGTGTGAAGCCATAAAGTAAGTGCAATGCTTTAGTAAGATCTTCCGAAACCCGGTTTGGCTCAGCAGATAAAGCGTCAGCCTGCAGACTGAAAGGTCCCAGGTTCGATTCTGGTCAAGGGCATGTAACTTGGTTGCGGGCACATCCCCAGTAGAAGGTGTGTAAGGCAGCTGATTGTTGATTCTCTCTCATCGATGTTTCTAACTCTCTATCCCTCTCTCTTTCTCTCTATAAAAAATCAATAAAAAATGTTTTTTTAAAAAAAGATCTTCTTTAACAGTTTAATAATTTTACGTAGTTGCAGTTCTCAGATGCCACTACTTTTATTTACTAGTCTATTAGCATTAAATGCATTATTGTACATTTAAGTGTAAATGTGCAGAGACCCATTTACTGATATGTGAGTAACTTGATCCAAAGTATGACTTCTCTAAGTGTTTTCTATTATTATTAGCTTTATATTTTTTTTGCTAAACTGAGTTAGGAAGCTATGAAAAAGAACATTGTTGGTTTTTTTTTTCAAAAGTGATTTTTAAAAATTTAAATATCTTCTCTGATCTTTGGGAAACTGTATTCTTAGGATCCCTCATGATTTCTGACAGATAATATGGCTACACACAAATTGTAAGAAAGAAAGTAGTTTATCACCAGGCAGCAATTAATATACAAATGCAGCCCAAAATTACTTCAGCTAGGCAACATTCTCAGCTTTGAGTAGTTTCAGTTATAGGTCACCTGTTTGGCTCCTATACAGCTCACAAAATGATCCTTAATGGGTTGTTTTATTACACACCCAAAAAAAGGCATCTCAGCCAATTTCAGGAATTCTCCCATGTCCTCTCTCACATGCAAGGGCATTTCATTCCCATTTCTTAAAGCACAAGGTAAGGATGGATAAAGGCATTTTAATTTTTTTAAGACAGTGAGGAGAAAGCACACACTTAGCATTGGAATTTTCCCAGATCATCTCAGGTTTTGTCACAGGAACCAGAAACATGGGCCCGTGAATGTTTGCCTGTATATTCCCCTCCGTATGTGGACTCCAGACTTAACCTAATCAGCGCCTTGACTCCTATTTTCCGAGGCCCCATGGCGGAAGCACTTTAGCTGGTTTTGGAATGTTCTCCAAGCTTAGAAAGGGGTGTGTTTTGTTTTTTCCTGTCATGAGAATGCAAACTGTTCTTAATCAAGGAAGTGATATTCAGGATCCTGATGGTGTAAGTCATTAAGGTTCCTCTTAAACTAGAAAATGTGTCTACTGCTGTTGCAAGTTTTAAGCAATTGCTTCAGCATTTTTCTAGAGATGACATAGATTGCATCTGCATGCATTAAAACAGTCAGTGAATTCATTTGAACCTTTGACCCACTCATTTTTCTACAAAAGATGCATATGACTTGGAGACTATTTTAAAGAATCAAATCATTAACCAGTCAATTCTGTCACAATGGCCATTGTAGAGTGCCTTCTCTTCCCTTTTTATGTCCTCCTGGCTCTCTGCTGACCATGTTTCAGTACAGAAATGCCACGTGGTTGGACCTGTTCTCTCTCCATGAGGTAAAATCTTAAGAACAATTATTGGTTTTACAACAATTTATTTACCTCCCAAAGATGAAACAAAGTAAATTCTTCTAAGATGATCCAGATCAATAAACTTGTATCTTGTATTAAGTGTCTACATTGCCCCAAGCCCTGAACCCACTGATGGGTATACAAACCATTTGGACAAGGTCTGTGTCTTCCTGGAGCTGACACTCTGAGAGCAGATGTGAACCCAAATGGGAGTGTTAGCTGAGCCCTGGGAGGTTGAAGGACCTAGAAGGGTTCCTATATCAACCAGAAAGCCTTCCTGGGTGAGGAGAAGGTCATGCCTAAACCACAGATGGAAGAACAATGCAAACTGGTCCTGTGACATCCACAACCTGTCAGAGAAAGGAACCTCAGGGGAGTGGGGAGCAGAGAGAGGAACCATCCTGAGCAAAAGGCGAGGATCATACAAGGCCTGGGCCGCCATAGCACTCATTGCTGATGGAGGGCAGAGGGTTGGGGGCAGACCTTCTACATTATGTAAATGTTCTGGCTCCTCCTGAGGGTGGGAATGAAGGGTTTGGATGGCCTGCATTGTTGTCTTTGGGGGTGTGTGGGAAGGGACCATAAAAGGAAGAAAGAGCAAGAGGAAGGGCAGGGAAAGAAAGGAAGAGAAAGGATAGGAAGGGAATAACTTGCATTTTTTTTTCCAGAAAGCCATTTATTTTTACATTGTAAGTTTGTTTCTTTTCTTTTTTTTCTTTTTTTTTTTTTTTATCATTTTTAGCATACTCAAATGATGTCTTTTTACCATTTAAGCATGACATCTATGCCTATGTCATTTGAGACCTTTAAGTTTCATTTACTGCAGTCACTCCTGGTAACCCTTCCTCTTTGCTGTGTTGCAACCAACATCATTGTTTCCTTTCCCATAGCCTCTGGGGGTGATTCTCTCTGGGTAACTAGGAATACCTTCCTGTAATGCTTCTTTTACAGTCATGTTAATTGATAAATGTACTTAGCAGGCAGAAATAAATAAGCATTGCCAAGCATTGTCATTTTCCCTTAAAGGAAATTCCTAAGGTATTTTTCATTTGCCTCTGTTAATAAGACAGTGTCTTAAAGTATTTTTAAAGCTGTTAGAAGGAAAGGGTTAAAGGGATTAGATAAAAGCCTTATTAACATAGGCAACTGTGATTACCGCAGGGCAAGTGGGGGTGGGGATAGAAGAGGGTGAAGAGGAGTAATCAGAAAGAAAAACTTTTTGTGGCTCAAGGCAGTCATCTGCTACAGAAGAATTCGTGATCATATTTCCAACAGTCTGAGAAATCCTGAATAATCACATGCCCTGAAAATTGGCCAAGAGTTAAATGGAGAAGATGTTCCTGGATGGTGATGTAAGTTTCCTTCTCTTTAGGAAAGTGAGAGATGCTACTGGCGTTGATATCAACATGCGTGTGGGAGTGCACTCCGGGAATGTCCTCTGCGGAGTGATTGGCCTGCAGAAGTGGCAGTACGATGTGTGGTCACATGACGTTACCTTGGCCAATCACATGGAAGCTGGAGGGGTCCCAGGGTAAGACCTGACATTGGATTTCTCTCTTTAAGTTGGCTGCAAGGTTAGAAATGATAGGTCAGAAGGTTAAATAACTTCTCAGTCTTGGATGATTTCTATGGTATTTATGTCCTACAGCCTCTTACATTAATCAGATAAACATGACCTGTCAAGTCCCAATCCCACCACCCCCATGACCCCTGGTTAAAGACTGTGGATATCAGATTCTAAATTACAGACTTTTACTTACTTGCAAAAGTATGCATAGAGGCATAAGTTGAAGATGTTTTTATACTGCCGTGCAGATATGGCATTTCTCTATTATTAGTGACTTCCGAAACCAGTACTATTAAAATGAGAAAACTGTGGCATCCGTCTCTGGTTAGAGCCTATTTCAGGCAAGAGGTTTTCAATGCAAGCGCTTTAATTTAGAGCAGTGGTCAGCAAATTCATTAGTCAACAGAACCAAATATCAACAGTACAATGATAGAAATTTCTTTTGAGAGCCAAATTTTTTAAACTTAAACTTCTAACACCACTTCTTCAAAATAGATTCTCCCAGGCCGTGGTATTTTGTGGAAGAGCCACACTCAAGGGGCCAAAGAGCCGCATGTGGCTCGCGAGTCGCAGTTTGCTGACCACTGATTTAGAGAAGCATGAGAGCAAACTTTGAGAAGTTTGTATACAGATCAGCATGCTTTTTAAAATGCCTCTGACCAGCATTTCAAAAAATATCCTTATATACTAAAATTCTTTATGCTCAAGCTTTCTTTGCTGTTCTTCACCACACCCACCAGACAAATTTCTGTGAGTACAGAGACCTCTAAGGAGGAGGAGCTCCTGACCTCCAGAAGCATTTTTCTAAAGCCCTGGTTAATAGACTGTCAACCTTATCAGAGTCCATTTTACCAAGAACCTACAGCCTTCCCTTCATTTCTGAAGTCACAGAAATAATCTCCCTCTGTAGATAGCCTTATCTATCTTGATTGTGGTTTTAAATGGAATTTCAGACGTGTCCATATTTCTTCTGTCACCCTGGAGCATCTGAATGGAGCTTACAAAGTGGAGGAAGGAGATGGTGACATCAGGGACCCATATTTAAAGCAGCACCTGGTGAAAACCTACTTTGTAATCAACCCCAAGGTCAGTGTTGCAAAGAGTCTATACTGTAATTGGCCTATGACTTCTTTGATTAGAAGGCAGAGGAGCAAATTACGTGTATAAGTGTTTTCAGTTAAGTAAGCCTTCGCCTCTAAAATTACTTTAAATGCATATGGCATTTTAATTATGGAACGTGTTTTAAATAATGCATTTAAATTTACTTATTAAAGAAACAATGAAATAATTGCTCTCTGTGACAGGGTTGTATTGTTAGTTAATGTATATGTTAATTTGTGGTGCTTCTGAGAGCAGCCTGACAGATGGGAAATTAAAGAGAAATATTTTGCTTAGGCTTTCAGATGATAAAAAATCTAATGAGATGAAGTAAGATAAACATATAAGAAAAGGGAAAAGAAGGAATTTCTAAAATATTAACAATAAAGTATCACATATACATTTGTGCGAGGACAGGTGTATACAGACATGTTTAACTTCCATACAGTAACACCCTCTGTTACTGGAAGAACTTCACACCCATCCAGAAGGCTGGGACCCGACTCCTCCTCTGTTCACACCACATGTTCTCCAGAATGAGGGCCTTAGAGCCCTCATGTCCTTTAGCCTCTCACCTCCTGCCAAATGAGTGTTATTGCTATTTAAGATTCAGATTCCAAAACTCTGAGTGGTCATGTAATTTACCCTAAATCACACAGCTTTAAACGGTGCAAATATAAGCAAGAAACACTCCTAAACTGTCAAAACCAGTATCACAAAGTCAACAGGATCAAGTGTATGGATGTGTGGCTATCTACTCACACTGGCTTCCTTCAAACCCTCGGCTTGCCTTTGGTGGCAAACTTTAGTTCACTGTGACAAGCAGGAAAAACTGAGATGATGGGGGAACCATAAGGAAAAGGCAAAAAACAGAACATGGAAACATTGTGTTCAGTAAAAGAACACCAAATCATGGATAGTAAGACCATCTTAGCATTAGAAAATAGCTCCAATCTCTATTCCCATCACTGTAGTGAAACTCACTGTCAAGAAAAAGTTGGAACAGATCAACATATCTGTTTAAAATTTTACTTTATAAAAATGTTTATTAAAAATGGCTATTTTTCCTAAGTTTAAATTACAGGTAACTTCCTGCCTGGGGGGCAGAAATGACTCAGCACAAACAGCTTATAACACTGCATGTCTGTAGCACTGAAGGAGTGAGGGCAGAAGCCGTAGAGGTGAAGGGGTGATGTTAGAGGAAGATGCTTAATCAAGGGACACTTCTTGATGGGATGGAGCAGGAAGGAGAGGCTGTACAGCTTTCCCAAGCCAAGTGTAATGATTAATTTCCCTACCCCAAGGGTGAACGAAGGAGTCCCCAGCACCTCTTCAGAACTCGTCACACCCTTGATGGGGCCAAGATGAGGGCCTCTGTGCGCATGACCCGGTACCTGGAGTCCTGGGGGGCGGCCAAGCCCTTTGCACACCTGCACCACAGAGACAGCATGACCACGGAGAACGGCAAGATCAGCACCACGGTATGTCCCCTCATGTTCCAAAACATCCTAGCACTGAGTGAGGGCTTGTCCCCCAACCAAAAGGCATTGCCTGTCCAAATAACTTCAAATGAAGTGAGTTTACCATCTCTGACTTCTCAGAGGCCCTTAAAAATAGCTATTAGGATATGAATGAGTACCAACCCCCCATTGCTAGAGGTTTTAACCCAGAGTGATTTTGCATTGTAACTTCATAACCCTAAGACTGTATTCTTGACAACTCACTGTAACAGCTGAATACAGTTTAACTCTTTTGAAAATCCAGGTTTGTGTTTTGTGTGTTGGTTTTTCCATCATTAAGGAAAAACCTGAGCATCTTAATAAAAGAACAAGTGGAGGCATACTGTCCTTGAAGTTTGAGCAGCATTATTAAGACAGTCTCTTCATCGCCCAAACATTCAGGCTGCGGCGGCAGCAGTGTACATTCTATTGTTGTAGTTCCTTGTTTATATCTCTCCAACTTCCATCAGAGAATAAAGTCTCAAGGTTCTTTACAACAGGGACATTTTCAATAAGATGGCTGCAATGCAGATAGAAAATAGAAAGAACCATAGAGGAGAGAGAAATAAATATAATTAAGCACTTAGAATAATGGTATCTTTAGATTTTTAACATGACTCTGAGTAAAATTAACTCTATTGTGAACAGAGTTAAAGAAAGTAAAGGAAGTAAATGGAATGTTACGTAATTCCTATTAGCTCCTGGGAAGAAGCATATCAGGTTGTCAGGTAAAAGTGGGCATTTCCAGTCTTCTGTGTCCCACACCTCCCAGCACGTCACAATGACACACCGAAGCCCTACAGGTAGGGCTCAGCATTCTTGTTTGACTTAGTTATGTTTCTCCTCTCAACTTCCCTTGTTCTTTTTCAAACTAAAAAATAAATGTGGCTTGACAGAAGACTATGACCACCAGACCATCAGGAAAGGAGTCCACCAGGACGAAACCTAGAGGAATTTGTGTTCTATTGGGAAGAGAGAGACTAGAAGTGGGAAACAAAGGAACATGATCATCTTAGGAGCTGCAGAAGGCCATGATAAAGATAAAATGGAGTGATGTTCATGGGAGTGCATGGGTGATTACTCTGGGTAGGACAGCTGGGGACATCTCAGAAAAGGAGAAGAGGAAATTGGAAAAGGATGTGGCAGAACAGTAAATTCAGAGGTTCTAAGATGGAAATGAATGTGGTCAGAGAGGATCCTGTGTGGCTTTAATGTCATCAACAATGAGCAAACAATCAGGCTGAGAAAGCAATAAGGTAATTGTGTTTAATTCACTCTACTAGTAAGTATACTGGGACCTCACTAGAGGATCTTAAGTGAGGAACAGGCATGGTACATATAATATGATTTACAATAATGGCGCAAGAGTGCAGGGGACCAAGTGAGAATGATGCTCACTTATGCTAAGATTTTAGTAATGTATACAGTGAGAAGCAAATTCAGGGTCTAATTTGAATGTAGAGCAAATCAGACTGTGGTAGAGTGGATAGGTGTGAAAATGAGGATCAAAGATGAATTCACACTTCTTTTAGTGGCACAGCTGGAAGAATGATAATGACCTTAACTGCAACGACAAATGCTATAGGGAAATCAAGAGATTTAAAATGGAAAAATCAAGATTTTGCTAATGGACATCTTCAAATCAATATGCCTTTTAGAATCTAAGTGCAGCTAGGAAGTTGGCAGATGGATGTGCAAGTTGAGAACTTAGGAAAGAGACCCAAGCTGGAGATGAGAATGTGAGAGGGATCAGGTTTTAGATGATATTTGAAGCCATGGAGCTGGATGGAATTATCAAGAAGAGATCGAAAGAGGAGGGCCTGGAGCAACTGGGTCCTTTAGCATTCAGAGCTGTTAAAGGAAAAGCATCCTAAGATGCAAGTATCAAGTTGTCAGTGAAAGTTGATGCTTTTATCACTCTTATGAAAAATAATAATTTTGATAATTTTGCCTCAATGTTACATTTATTATTAATGCTAATGGCTAATAACCATATTTCTCATTGTGTTTGTTGTTCATCAGAAATTGGTTGGTTGGTTTTCAAGAAATAAGAATCATGTATAAATATTAGAACATGATTTCCTATGCTGTTTCTTATGTATACCTGTGAAAACTTTATTGTCTAGGTGTTATTGATATTGTTGTGGTTATTTATTTCTCATCTGTCTTACTGTCCCAGTACTTAACAGTGCCTGTCTCCCTCTTTATCTCTTCATGGGACCACAGGAAATATTTTACCTGACTTTAATCTCTTATGTTAGTGAAGATGCCTCATTCAAAAGAGTGTTGCAAGGTCTAGTGCTTTAAGCTTCCAGAAGTTTATGAATTCAGAGGACCTCTTCAACAAAATCAATTTTCTTAACTGGCTGGTTTCACTAGTCACAGATACAGAACCTAGGGGCTGCTTTAGCAGCAAGATAGGATATCTTAAGACAATTCCAATGCTTTGTTTAACACTTGAAGCCCATATGATGGTTACTTAGCTATGACCCTCACTCACTTTCAGAAATTATTAATCATTCTTATTAATACATCCCAAGATTTTATCCAGAAATTATTAATAATCATTCTCATTAAGACATCCCAAGATTGAACAGTTGTCATTGCCAGAAGTTATTTCTTTTATCCAATCTCTTATGAAAAGCTCCATAACATTTGAGGTGTTAAGGTTCAACATTGATAGAGCTAGTATATAATGTATTATTTTACTTAATGTAAGAAAAAATGGAATTTTGTTTTGTTCTTAATGTTTTACCTTTTCCTAGGTAAATGTATTCCCTTAACACATTTCTTACCCTAACCTTGGAGATAAAGCAGCAAAGAGGAGTTTTTTTAGAATCATTTTGATTTGATTTTAATTTCCACTATAACTGTATAAAGGTGAATCTTGTGGGGGGTTTTTAAGTCTACTATTGAACATTAACAGTGGGTGTCCCATTGATAAACCCTGATTGGTGTCTTCCTTTCATTCTGTTTTCACGAACGAGAAGCACTCATATGTCAAATCTTTATTTTTCGATTACAGTTTATATTCAATAATTACATTTAATATTCTGTATTAGTTTCAGGTATACAGTATCATATACTTTACAAAGTAGTTCCCCCAATACACATTCTTAACCAATGGCACTACTTATTAATAGAGTTTAATGATAAGGGTTGACTATAGACTTTCTGGTTATGTTTATGTTTTTTTAAAGCACATTTAAATATTTTTCTAATGTCAAACTACAGTTTCAAATGATTGTAAGCTGTTTACATTACTCTAATAATGATTTTTCTGTAGGCCATTGTTTGAAATCATATCTTTGACTATTAGGATGTAAATGTTAAAAATCCTGACAACCAGTCTGATACTTTTGGCATCCACAGTTTATAGATGACACCAATATTTTAAATATAAACTGAGTTTTTAGTCTTGTTTTACATTTATAATTAAGTCTTTGCTCCACGTGGGTAATTATATGTTACCTAACTAGAATTTCTCATGATAAAAGAAGAAATGTGTTTTACATAGTTATCATTGCAATGCTATTTTAAAAGTATATTTTTGGCAACTAATATCCCTTTTTTGTAGGATGTACCAATGGGCCAACATAATTTTCAAAATCGCACCTTAAGGTATGGTATATGATCCATTTTCTAACTGTTAAAAGCTCACTTTTTAATTTATTTCTGAAAGTAATTATCATCAATTATAGTAATTCTAAAGGCTACTTCTAAAAGAGCAGCTACTTGTGAAGAGCCCTATTAAATTGCTCTCAAGCTTCTAAAAATAGGATTATTAGTATCGTGTTTTTAGGATTAAGAGAGGAAAAAAGAAAACACCACCTGGTAACCACTATAGAGCTTGAAATTATTTTCCTAAAATGATTCTTCCTAATATTAATATATAGCAAAAAAATGAAATTTCTTAAAATGAGTATGGTCCTTACAATTACATTTTTCTGTTTGAATCTTAGAGATAAAAGTAAGATAGAACTAGCCTTTCTATGGTAAAAAGTAGGGCTGCTCAACCTCTTTAAAAAGAAGAAGAAGGAAAAAAAAAAAAACTTCCCACACATGTCTCCAGGCCCCTGTCACCATCCATGATAGAATTACAGGCACTAATATCTTTTATTTCCATGTTCCTCTAGCTTTGGGGGTCAGAGTTATCCTTTGGTATTGGTTTGGGAATGAAGTATTTCTTATTGAGGTAAGATAATTCATGAAAGGCCCAAAACTCAAGCCAGTCTTTCTTTCCCCACAAGGAAGTGGGTTTATTCTTATAGAAAACACATTGTATCCAAGTAAAAAGGAAGCACAATTAAGTAGATCATTCCCTGCAATTCATGGCAAGGGGTGCACATCACCCAAGAATCCCTCTCAGTGACTTTGTTGTAAGGAGCTCTACTTTATATTTTGTGTAAAATCGCAAGCCACATGCAGCTCTTTGGCCCCTTGAGTGTGGCTCTTCCACAAAATACCACAGCCTGGGTGAGTCTATTTTGAAGAAGTGGCGTTAGAAGAAGTTTACGTTTAAAAAATTTTTCTCTCAAAAGAAATTTCAATCATACTGTTGATATTTGGCTCTGTTGACTAATGAGTTTGCTAACCACTGCCCTAGCAGAAGTCACCAAATTACAGGAGCAAGAAAATTGTCTGTAGGTCAATTATTTTTGTCCAGATAATTAGTGAATACAATGGTGCAAAGTCACATGCATTTATTGGCTACTGCATGTGCCATGCTTACTGCATTGATCCCTGTACAGGCTTTCCCCAAGCTAATCCCAAAACAGATTCATGAAGACAATGCCATTGTTACCCTGGACATATCATTGAAGGATTTTGTTTTTCTGTGAATTCAAGGATCTACAACTGTTTCTTCTTAGACTTAGAGATATTTTGAGAAAAAGAAATCCACCAAATTGAAGTAATAGACCTCAAGTCCAGTCAAGGGCTGATTAAAAACAAAACGAAAGGTCTAAAGTAAAGATAGCTCCTCCCTGTAAAAGAGAATTAGCCAGAGTAGATGATTGCTAAAGTTCCTGGCTTAAAAAAAAAAAAAAAAAAAAAAAAAAAAAAAAAAGATACTTTGTCTTCTTCAAGAAGCTTGGAATATGGCATGTCAATACCTCTTGGCTCTGTATCTGCATCTGGATCACTTAATATTTTTCTGGTTTTGAACCAAGATTGCCCTTGGCCTGTTTATTTATTTATTTATTTTATTGCTATTTTACAGGGAAAGAGATAGAGAGCTAGAAACATCAATGAGAGAGAAACATCGACCAGCTGCCTCTTGCACAACCCCTACTGGGGATGTGCCCATAACCAAGGTACATGACCTTGACCGGAATCGAACCCGGGACCTTTCAGTCCGTAGACCGACTCTCTACCACTGAGCCAAACTGGTTTTGGCACCCTTGGTCTGTTTAAAGAAGACAAGTCAAATCCACAGATGCTGATGGAATTGCAATGCCCATCATCTTATTAATGATGCTTCTATGAGATTAATTATAGATAACTGTGACATTGCATATTGATTGGCTCTTATTGTCTATACCTTTGGCAGTTCTGAACTCAGAAAAGTGTGAATTTTATCCCAGAATAGAAAGTCTATTCAATCGGTAATTTAACCAATCAGAACATAGACAAGCCATGTGCTCATTGCACATCCCACTCAGGGACCTGTCACACCTAGACTTAGGCGCAGGCTAGTGCAGGCCAGTTGGTGAGGGTCAGCCTGTGTTTTCACTCTTAGCAGGTGCTTAACTTTTAAAAACATTTATTATTTTGGTTTTCTCATGCTAATTGTCAAATTAACCTTGTGAAACTCATTATGATTTTGGCATAATTTATTTACAAAACACATTACAGCTGACAGTTATTTGTTTCCACCACCAAATGAGTGGTCTGCACATATAAGTGGGGTTTTCTGTGAGTTGTGCTTTCAAATACTGAGGAACATTTAAATACATACAATTAAGCTTTAATATGCCTAAAAAAGGATGGTAGTTCTACAAATTCTTGAAAACAGACCAGTAAAAACATTAACAAGGAGTAACTATTTTGTCAACTAAACCGAATTTTTGCAGGGAATTTCCAAAGCCAGTGCGTTCTGTCATAAACTAAAGTTTATAAAGGCAACCAGTCAAGGGCTAATGTGCCTTATAGGACAAAAAGTTCTTTCTTCTCCAACACCAAGCACCTATCCTTCAGTGTTGCTTTTGATTACCAAGAAAAATTTCACTCTAAGTGAAGTAAGGCCACATTTTACTGCACCAAAAACTCTAGTCAACTCTGTTGATTCATAGAGTGGCTGCTGTTTATAAAGAAAAGGCTGTTCATGGGTTCATTCTTTTTACTTGTTTAACAGAATTAAATAGAGGTTTTGGCATCATAGAAAAATTGGGTTAATGTTAGTAATAAGATTTCTTACCCATTACATTTCCTTTTTCATTTTAGAACCAAGTCACAAAAGAAACGATTTGAAGAAGAATTGAATGAGAGGATGATTCAAGCAATTGATGGGATTAATGCACAAAAGTGAGTTCTTCTTAATCTTAAATTAGCATTCAAACCCTATTATTTGAAAAGATTGTTATTTTCTGCCTAATAAACACACTCCAAGTAAATTACTAATAAAAGGCATGAGTTGTAAATATGGAGAGAAAAATCATAGCAAAATGTGTTCAGGAGGTCATATGAAAGATCAATAGGAATTCCGTGTGGGAAAAACTTTGTTATAGTAAGTTATAGTAAGTAGCTCTATCCGTTCAGAATGCATTTATTCCCATGCAAACCCAGAGAATATTGACCTACCCACGTTCCAAATTGTGGAAGAGTGTTATGCTTTAGAATCTGAATTTATGAGGGCAATGGGAAGAAGACTAGGTTTTTCTGGGGAGGGGACGCAATATTGTTCAGTCTATGAAGTCTATAAATTCTGTGAATGTCTATTCAGTCTGTGAATTGCTGTTGTAGTTTTAAATGGTCCAAGAAATGCCTTAAAAATTAAAGGAAGTAGTGGCATTCATGGCCTGGACAGAACAGTCACATCCATCAGCCTCTGAAATCATACCAGGTGCATGTGCCTTCAATAAATGTTTGTTGAATTAAGTTGTAGTGTAAACATCAGGAGGTCCAAATGAAAAGCTCAATAAAAAAGTTTCCATCTTTTTTTAATCTAATTTTTTATCATGAAAGTTAACTCTTGAAAAATGTAAATGATTTTCACCTAGAACTCTGACTACAAAACTAAATTGCACATCTTTGCAAACTGTGTGTTTCTTCTACATTGTTCATTTTAAGTATTTGTTTGAAAATATTTATAGGGTTTATGAGAAAATTACATGACTCTGTGTGTGTGTGTGTGTGTGTGTGTGTGTGTGTGTGTGTGTGTGTGTAATTGAATATATACACAATAAAGTGTCTTAGTCAGCCTACAGGTGTAATTCATATATACTGGCACATTGAATTAACACCTGCCTAGAGATCCTTTGTGTGCTCTAAATGCAACATGTGGCTTGAAATAAGTCATTTTCTCAAGTATCAGTCCAGTGTTCATGGCTTACAAACTTAGTTTTAGGTGCTAGGGACATCAGGAAAGTGAAACCTGGTCTTGAGCACTTCCTGCTACTTGCAGGACACAGACAGATAGGAAACAAACCTGGATTGGAATTAGGGGGCCTTGCAACTTAATGATGAGCTGGTTTTATTTCCCCTTTATAAATTTCACTCATTTTATTCCCAAACTTATATAATTCAGAAACATTTTAAAATTAGATCTTTCTTTCTCAATAATAATAATAATAATAAACTTTTAATAGGTTACCTGTATACATAATTCATAGTTTCATAACTACACAGTTCTGGAAATGAATATAGTAAAAATTTATCTTAAATTTTCTTTTCTGTCCTTTTTTTTTTATATTAACCAACCTTTGATTCCTCTAATTAGTCTCATAAAAGAGGACAATTACATAGTTCTGCAGCTAATGTAATAATAAGTGCCAAAAATATCTATTTCCCTGAATTTGAAGATTATACCCTTGAACCAAAAAATATTATTGCCTTCCAGCATGGCTTACTGGTTGAACAACAACCAGTGGACCAGGAGGTCACAGTTTGATTCTCCATTGGGGCATGTATCGGGTTGTGAACCGGATCCCCAGTGCGGGGTATGCAGGAGGCAGTCAATCGATGATTCTCTCTCATCATTGCTGTTTCTATCTCTCCCTCCCTCTCTCTCTTCATCTCTGAAACCAATAGAAATATATTTTTGAAAGTATTGTTATATATAGTTCTCAGTTTTAATGGTGATTGCTCTGGGCTACATTACTGACTTCTGTGCCCCGACTGAAAGTGCATGGCTTGTCATTGAGTCTTGTGGGACATTCATACTCATCATGGTCAGCACCATGAGAGTCTTCCTAACTCTCCAGGGGTTCTGGGCACAGCGTATCCACATAGACCTGGAGATGTCCCTCCTCAGATGTGCTGGTCTCCTGGGGTAACCTGTTAACCCAAATCTGAGACCTCTTGTACATTTAGGGGCTCTAATCTGAAATCAGTAAGTGGCTGGTTACCGGATAAAGTGTAACAGTTCACCTGGCCTTTTCTCCTGGATCCTTAAAGGCCTTCATCCTTTATTTCCTGAATACATCGCAGAGTCCAAATCCATAGACAGCTGTGCAGTGGATTGGAAAGCTCTATATTAATAAGTTCATGTGAATTGGTTTTTGTTTGAACAGATGTAATGTTTTTGGAATTTTATGTAAAATATCATTTTATCTCTAATGTTTAACTATCTGTATATGTTCTCTCTCCCTATATAGATATAGATATAAGCAAGGTTGATATATACTTGTAGAAATATACACATATATGCCTATTCATTATAATTCAGATTATTACATTTGTAATTATAAACATATTTAAGAGAAGTTAGGAAAATAGAAATATAAATTCATCAGTTAATGACTCAAACCAGTTGGTCATTGTTGGTGTTTATTTTTAGATATTTTTATTGATGCACACATTGCAATTTTTTTCTTACTTAACTTTGTTTCAGAAAGTGTATGTTAATTTTATGGCCAAATGTATGATTATATTAGGCACTGTGTACCCGCCTTGCTTGGTCATATATGTGGTGTCTCCGCTTAGCTTATATAAAGCATTCCAGTGAAAAGTTCTGTCATTAATCTCTTTCTCTATTTCAACTACTTTCTTAAGATAGAGTTTTGTGAGTCAATCAGTGAGTAAGCGTGCATACTTCCATATAATTTTTATTTTTTTAACATCTGATACGTATGTATATATTCACATATGTGTTTATGTTAACATAATATTAGTGATCTGAACTGCTTGATGCTTATATTAATATTTTCCACTGATACTTTTGAAAAACATGTTCAAATACTATTTTTACTTTATAGAAATAAAAAAATAACAATGATTTTACTTATATGTGAATTTGAAAAACAAAATAAATGAACAAGCAGAACAGAAACAGACTCATAGATACAGAGAACACTTTGATGGTTTCCAAATGGAAAAGGGTTTGAAGGATGGGTGAAAAAGGTGAAGGGATTAAGAAGTGCAAATTGGTAGTTACAATAGTCAAGGGGATGTGAAGTACATCATAGGGAATATAATCAATAATACATCAATAACTATGTATAGTGTCAGATAGATAGTAGATATATCATAGGGATCACTTCATAAGTTATATAAATGTTGAATCACTAGTTGCACATCTGAAACTAATACAATATTGTATGTCAACTGGAATTGTATGTATTTAATTGAAAAAAATTATTATAAAGAAAACAAAACATAACAATGAAAGTATTTTCAGTAAGTGTAAAGAGGCAAAATCTCCTCACCCAGAACTTGAAGGGACTCTAAATGGGCTTGACATTCTGTGATGTGATACTTGGTATAAACAGAGAAATACAGTGCTTCTCTGTGAACCAAATGCTTCAGGACATGACACTATCATGTGATTTCAGTAAAACATCAGGGAATACATTTAATAATGTACTTTAATCCCTAGTTATTTAATTAGGATAACTTGAGTTTCAAGCTGGTACAACAGATGGTTGTTAATATCAAATTTTCCAATGAGGGCAGTGTGAATAGGAATATTATATTTGCGGATTCCATATCCAGTTATTTGGCATTATGCCTTTTTAAAAATATTCAATTTTGGATGATTTGCAATAAAGAAAGAAGAATGCAAGTCACTTTTTTTTAAAGTAGTTCCAGATGTTTGGTTGGAGGTTTGATTTTATGATGTCTGCCCTTTTTATTTCTAGGCAATGGCTCAAGTCCGAAGACATTCAGAGAATCTCATTGCTTTTCTACAATAAAATACTGGAAAAAGAGGTAAGCTATAATTTTCTTTAAAATCAATCGTTTTTCTGACATTTTCATTTTTCAGATTTCTTCATGAAGTATACCCGTGTTTTTTCTTACTTGTGACATTTAAACTGCCTATAGCTACATCCGAACTCTTTATACCTTTTCTATAATTCTTCCATGCATATATTGTTTTGTCATAGTTCTTGCAACCAAGCTTCATCTCTGGCTAGTCGTCATTCTCAATATTCTTGGTGGTATGTGATGTCTGGAATATGTCTGATATTTGGAGCTTAAATAAAGGAGCATTAACTAAACAAATTCTTCCTGATAAATGTACAGTGGCTTTGCACAAATTATATAAACTTTTTGACAAAAATATGAAATTTACATTCAACGTATTGGGGAGAATTAGGAACCTCAAACTTTTAGGTTTTGTTGCATCTAAATACTTTCACATTATGACTCATAAAGTAAGAGCTAATTCAGGTACACATAATAAGCAGACATTTAATTTTTTTACATGTCAAGTTTAACATAGATTTGCTAAAATGAATTAAATAATTATTACAGAAAGGACAACTGTGCTAGGTCAGCTTTGTTTAACTTGCCTTTTGTTTTGTGTTGATCTAGAAAAGGAATAAGTGAGAGCTGATTTTTATTATCCAACCATGTAATTACAGTCTTAGTTTGAACAAAAGCTACTGTAGTTACAGTGCTATTAAAGGAATTCAGTTCATTGTTTTATGGAGATTGAATAGAAAAAAAACAAATACCAAAATTTCTTCTAGAATTCATCAGAGTTGGATTACGCAGTTACACCTAAATTTTCTTTTTTTACTAGTGGTCAAGAAGATCAATTGTCTGCTTCTAAGTCCATATATTGACTACAGATGGTTTACCAAATTGATGTTTGATATAAGTCATTACTATTATTTTGATCCTTTTTTCCTTGAATAACTTGAACACATACTGATGGTTACTTAATGTGTAAATGGTAAAGTAGTCCCTTCCTGGTAAAAGTCCATCTCCTTTATTAATACTGTAACTCATAGCTCTGCACAAAGCCCAGGAGAAGGGAAAAGATAAGGATGTAATTGAATGCGTAGAATGTAATCACATTTCTGTGCCTTTGCTAATGTAGCTCCTTCATCAACATGTAAATTATCCCAGCTAGTAAGTCATAAAATTCATCAAAAAAATATTCTAGCAGATAGAAGGTGGTCGTAATTTTAAATGCCACTTTTGCTGACATTGCCCATGAGGGCATATTTGCAGAGGCCAACTTTCAGGCGAGGTTGAGAGGCCATGGAGATCTAAGCTTGTTTTATGCCCAAGGAAGCAAGGAAAAGAAGCCTCAATTCACCACCCAGAGATCACTAAAACCCCAGTGGCTAAAACCCCAGCAATTCATACTATAACTTACTGTAGCTTGGGGAGCAGTCTGTACAGACATAGCTAATGCAGTCTGCCAGAATTGTCAGGGGTCTCAATAGCATTGCCACAGAAACTTAATTTTCTTTTCATTTTATTATAAAACTCTTTTGAGAAACAGTATAGTCTCAGCTGCAACTTCGGTTGTCGTTTTTCCTGCATAACTCAGACAGGGGCAGTCCCAGGTGGGCAGCTACACTGGTCAGTGTACGGTCCTGGATGGGATGGAAAGCCGCGTGGACAAGGGGAAAGAGTGTCCACTAGCCAGGCTCAGACAAGCAAACAGAATGAATGTGGACCCAGACAAAGCCCAACGGGCTTCTCTATCTTTTAAATCTACACATTACCTCTCAGTATCATTAAAATAAATAAAAAATAAAAGACTAAACCAAGTAAATTAAATGAGGAAATTACATTTCCTCAGTAGCATCCAGAAGTTAAATATTAAGTGAAAATGTATTTGCTTTCCCCAAATCAATGTGGGCAACAAGGGAACCAGGGCTCCCACACAGTGCACTCGGTTGCGCACTTGTCTTTCTGGTCAGGTGCTCTCTCTCCATGATGGAGTGACTGATTCAGTTACCTTAAAATGGGTTTCTGAACAGGTCGGCGTATAAGTCATGGTCTTTGGAAGTCACAGCTCATTTGGAGAGAGGAAGTACTCATTGCCCATGATGAGCAGCCATCGTCCTTAGCTCCTTTGTGCCACAGTCTGCCATGTAGGCGTGTGATGCATGAACTGGGTAGAGTTAGGCTTCAGCCCTTCTCTTTCTGAACTGCCACTCACTGTTTCCCCCTTCTCCCCTTAGTACCGAGCCACGGCATTGCCAGCGTTCAAGTATTACGTGACCTGTGCTTGTCTCATTTTCTTCTGCATCTTTATCGTGCAGATTCTCGTGTTACCAAAGTAAGTGCATGTGGTTCTCCATTGGGATTCTTACCTGGTACCGTCCTCCTAGCCCACTGTTCTCAAGGATGTGAGAAGATGGGAATTTCTAAATCACAGGGGTTATGTATCATACCACAGTGATGGTGGAAGGGGTAGACCTCAGGATCTGTAGAGTTATGTGATCTCCATGCATCATGTTTAGTTATAGAAATATTGGATTTTCAAAGCAGGCATGTGAATTCATGTTCCAGTGTTTCCTTCTGCCTTTGACTTTCATATTACTCGGATATGAAATATAGAGTTTAAGAAATATAGCCCAGGAAAACTTTACCAAAAAAGGCAAAACTGCCAGATGTTGTTTCTAATATACAAATAACATCATTGTATATTGAAAGGACAAAACCTGCTCTGGGCACACTTCCCACCCATTCATTCTGATTTTACAGTCTTCTCCATGAAGTCCATGCCCTGCCCCCATCTCTGATTGTTACAGGTCACTGTCCAACTCACCTCTCCCAGGACAGACCTGAAACAGACAGGAGGAACCGGGGGAGTTGGATTTCACAGGTTCACACTTTGGGGTGGACTCCTGCAAGTCCCACCTATTGGTGAAAATCCAGTCACTCTATGATTCCTGGATTGTCTTTCTCCCTCACTTTCTTAATGAATGAAATATACATCAACTGACTTCCTTTAAAGAAACAGATTTTTGCCCTGGCTGGTTTGGCTCAGTGAAGGGTCCGGGGTTCGATTCCAGTCAAGGGCACATGCCCAGGTTATGGGTTCGATCCCCATAATAGGTAGCATGCAGGAGGCAGCCAATCAATGATTCTCTCTCATCATTGGTGTTTCTCTTTCTCTCCCTCTCACTTCTCTGAAATCAATAAAAAGGAAGGAAGGAAGGAAGGAAGGAAGGAAGGAAGGAAGGAAGGAAGGAAGGAAGGAAGGAAGGAAGGAAGGAAGGAAGGAAAGAAGAAACAGATTTTCCCCATTCTATAAGAAATAGAAGACAAATAAGAAAGAGAAGACAAATAAGAAATAGAAGACAAATAAGAAATAGAAGACAAATAAGAAAGAGAAGACAAATCTCTTATCTTTTGATAATTGGGGATATAGACATAAATTTTAAGATAAATGTTTTTTCCCTTATTATTACCTACTTTGTTAAGGCAAAGCAATCATTTTTAATTTCATATAAATTAGAGAATTTGCATTTAACTTCAGGGGCACAGCCAGCATTTGTGGGAAACTTGAATTGCTAAAGCTGGGTTACATTTTGTCTCATTGATAGGAAGCAAACTAGAAATGAATAGTTTTTTTTCCTATGTGTACTCCAAAGAATATTCTTCTGGACACTGAGCCCACACAAAGGCTTTATAGGCTTTATAGAAATATAACAAATCAAAATATTATTCATATATGTATAATCTAAAACTATCAGACCCCTTTTAGGACTATGTTCCCACTAGATTTCCTCTTATTAGTATTAAAATGTGTGGGCCAATTGACTTATACTAAAACTTAAGTGAAATTTGCTAATGTCAACTTATAAGTTTTTTATTTTTAAAAAAGTTAACAAATTAAGTTCCTTCTAAGTGCCAGGCCTATGCCATGTGATTCAAGAGAGAAACAATGGTCCCAGCAAGGTTTACAGGCGGGGCATTGCTCTGGCCAGATGGCTTAATTAATAGGAGCATCATCCCGTACAACAAAAAGGTTGTGAGTTTTATTTCAGTCAGGGCACATACCTAGATTGCAAATTCAATCCCTGGTCTGGGCATGTGCAGGAGGCAACTGATGGATGTTTCTCTCTCTCTCCCTCTCCCTTTCTTTTTCTCTGAAATCAGTGGAAGCATATCTTCAGGTGAAGATAAAAAAAAAAAAGTTCTTACATCTCTGTCAGGTATTTGGATTAATAATTTATACAATACTCTCAGAGAGAAAAATAATAAAACATTCTCTTTTTAAAAAAAAGTTATATAGACGATACAAGTACTACCAAGGAAAATGGACCCTTATTATTACTCTCAAGTAGATTAATTCATTCACTTTTCAGTATTTTCTTAATAAGTATTTTTTATATTTTTCTACATTATAATTAAGATAGTTTATCATCCACTAGAAGGAGTTGGAAGAGAGGAAAGTGAGTCAGCATTTTAAAAGATGATGTCAGCCGAAACCAGTTTGGCTCAGTGGATAGAGCGTTGGTCTGTGGACTGAGGGGTCCCAGGTTCAATTCCTGTCAAGGCATGTACATTGGTTGCAGGCACATTCCCAGTGGAGGGTGTGCAGGAGGCGGTTGGTCGATGTTTCTCTCTCATCGATGTTTCTGACTCTCTATCCCACTCTCTTCCTCTTTGTAAAAAATCAATAAAATATACTTTAAAAAAAAAAAGATGATGTCAAAGATGCCCTACCTAGTTTGGCTCACTGGATAGAGCCAAACCAAACGGTCCTGGGTTTGATTCCAGTCACAGGCATGTACCTTGGTTGTATGCTCCTTCCCAGCTCGGGCTCAGGCTCATGTAGGAGGCAACCAATCAATGTGTTTCTCTCACATTGATGTTTCTCTCTGACTTTCCCTCTTTCTTCCACTCTCCCTAAAAAATTAATGGAAAAATATCCTCAGGTGAGGATTAACAATAAATAAATAAATAAATAAATAAATAAATAAATAAATAAATAAAAAGATGAAATCAAAGATGACAGACTTCCAGGGACCAAGAAGAACATTTCACCGCATTCTTCTTTGAAAAGAACACACAGGAGATGTCTTCTCTGTCGTGGCTTTTATTTTCTTGTCTCTCTTTTATTGAATTGTGTATTTATGAGGACCCATAAATATGTTAGTTAATTATGGCAGTTCATTCTCTCAGGTATCATCACCAGTTGTTATGTGTGTCCTGAGCATCAAGTTAGACTTCAAGGGTGAACATTGTGAATTCTGTGCTGGTTGCATTTCCTTCTTTGTGTTGGCAGTCAGAAAGTTCAGAGGAAGGCCTGTGGGCTCCTCAAGTAAAAAAGAGTTGGAACTTGAGTGTGTGTGTGTGTGTGTGTGTGTGTGTGTGTGTGTGTGTAACTCACTGACTGACTTATTACAGGGAAAGGATACATTAAAATTAGCCTAAGGAAGAGACACATAGAGTATACAAGGGGCCCTAATGCAGGGCTTCTGGCTGTTCTCTCCCAGAGGAGCATGGATGGATTACCTTCTCCCAGCCACCATGTGTGGAAATACCTACCAAGTATCATCAACCAGGGAAGCTCACCCAAGCCTTTGGTGTCCAGAATTTTTATTGAAGCTCAATCACGTCCTGCCCATGTGACTGCCTGTTGGTCTCCAGCCTTCTCCTGATGTGGGGCTAACATATTGAGTCTCCAGTCCCTTCCTAGTTGAGAACTGTACCTCCTGTACCAGTTTTATCTTGTTTTATGTTATATTAGCCTTTTCCCTTCATTTTTCTTTCATGTTAATAACCTCCCTTTTTTCTTTTAGAAAAAAATTATTGCTATTAAATACTTCAAACATACAAGAAAAGTACAGAGCATAAGATAATAAGCATACATGTGCACAAAATGCACATTTCACAGATGTTAATCTGGTGGTATATTTACTTTAGATATGTTTCTATGTTTTTGTGTTTGGATAGCTTCCTATAGACAGCATCTATATTTATTTTGTTTGTTTTTTATGTGTTCAAACTGCTATCTTTATATTAATACTAGAGGCCCGGTGCCCCTCAGCCCAGCCTGCACCCACTACAATCTGGGATCCCTCTCACAATCCAGGACTTATTACTCCCAACGACTCATTGGCCTGCCTGCCTGATTGCCCCTAACTGCTTCTGCCTGCCAGTCTGATCACACCTAACCTCTCCCCTGCCAGGCCTGATCAATGCCTAACTGCTCTCCTGCCAGCCCAATTGCCCTTAACTGTCCTCCCCTGCAGGCCTGGTCACTCCTAACTGCCCTCCCATGCAGGCCTGGTCCCCCACAACTGCCCTCCCCTGCAGGCCTGATCTCCCACAGTTGCCCTCTCTTGCTGGCTGGTCCCCCATCTACCCTCCCCTGCAGGCCCGGTCTCTTCCCCAGCTACCCTTCTCTGCAGGCCTGGTCCCCCACAACTGCCCTTGCCTGCTGGCCTGATCTCTCACAACAGCCCTCTCCTGACAGCCTGGTCCCTGCCAACTCCCCTCCCCTGCAGGCCTTGTCACCCCTAACTGCCTTTCTCTGACAGCCTGGTCACTCCTAACTGCCCTCCCTTGCAGGCCTAGTCATTCCTAACTGTCCTCCTCTGCTGCCCTGATCTCCCACAACTGCCTTCCCCTGCTGACCATCTTGTGGTAGCCATCTTGTGTCCACATGGGGGCAGTCATCTTTGACCATATAGGGTTGGCATAATGTATGTTGGAGTGATGGTCAATTTGCATATTACTCTTTTATTAGATAGAATGTTTTATCTATTTGTATTTTTATTTTTTATTTTATATATATGGACCCACTTTACCCTCTTATTTTCATTTACCTTGCTTTTTTTGTTATCCATTTTTCCTTCCTAACTTCTAAAGAATTGATGAGACTTTTTTTTTATTCAGTTAAAAGGAAATATATGTATTCTTAACTTAGGAAGTTCTAAAGGTAATCATTATATTTCTTGTATAATTATTTCTTATCATTTTATGTCCAGATGGTAATTATAGTCAATATTTATTTAGATTTACCCATATTGTTTACCAATTCTTTACTCATCAATGCTTTTTTAAAATTTCTTTCTTCATTTTTCTTCTTACTGATATATATTATTTATTAGTCATTTTATTGAGGGTCTGTGAGTTCCCTCAGTTTTCATTGTCTTTGCTAAATACCCTGTGTAGGAGGTGCACAGAGCATTGATGGAGAGACCCATATCACTACTTGAGGGAGGAGAAGTGAGAGTACAGAGGGAAGAGGGTCATGGCACTAAATGGAATTCCATAGAAAGGCCTTATTATTTACCCAATTAAATGTTTTATAACTAATAAACCTTTAGACTTTTTTGGTGGGGGAGGCATTGATAACCTTTGCTGGTTTATTTCTCAGCAAACGTGCTTCCTTGTCCCTGTCAGAACCATCTTTAAGCGATGAACTGGCTGTGAAAAACCAGAAAGGAGAAAGGACCTAGTCCTGAATCAGCCTTTTCCATTTACTGTAACAATACATTTGATTAAAGTGCCAAAGTCAAAAATCCTCACTAAAAAAAAAAAAGGGACTTTTCCTGCCTCATGACAGGGAGGAGTCAGCTTTGCTTCTCAGTAAGTACATAAATCAGTTATACTTGGGTTTTCAAAAGAAACAGCTTTGCAAGCAGAATGTTAATTAAAATTGGTTATGTTACATAACATCATGGTATGCTCAATGGGCCTAAACATGCTTTTGATAGAACAGGCATGATAAATGGTTATAATTAAGAGCTTTTAAGCAGCCATTACTTTTGCTTGGTATTTCTGTTCCCCAAGATAAAGGGTACCTCCACCTGAACAAGAGTGTTGGTGCGCTAGGGACTGGAACACTGGACAGCCTCAGGTCAAGCATGTCAGTGAGGATTCGAGCCACTCTGGATCTGAATGCCAAGTTGTGACGTATTCTAATTACAAGATCATATCATCAACAAGTAGAGATAGTTTTACTTATTTGTTTATAATCTAATGCCCTTATTTTATTTTTGTGCCTAATTTCCCTAGCTAGCTTTTCTGGTATAATATTCAATAGGAGTAGCCATATATTATTGGAACAATTAACAAGATTTTTATTGTTGCCATCTTTATTAATCTTTTCAAAGTTTATTTCACTCTTTTCATTGTTAAATTATATACTTTTGAATACACTAGTCAAATAAGAAATCAGAAGAGAAATTAGAAAGTATTTTGTATTGCAAAACATAACTTCAAATTTTCTGGTATGTACCTTAAAGTCATTTAGAGAGGAATTTGTAACTTTCAAATGCTTAAAAAAAAAAAAAAGAAAGAAAAAGAAAAAGAAAATGAGACAGTTAAAATAAAAAGTCCCCGTTTCCAATTTAAAAAGCCAGGAAAAGAAGAGCAAATCAAGAATGTAGGAGGGAATAATTGGTAAAGAAGAAAGAAAAAAAAATAGGAACCAACCAATACAGAAATAGTAATGCAAAAGTTGATTCTTTTAACAAGTTTAATTATTCTTAAATCATTATCAAAAGTGATCAAGGAAGAAAAAGAGATAACCAGAAAATACCCAAACTAATAATATAAGGAATAAAAGGGAATCCACTGCAAAGCCTACAGACATTGGCAGGATAAATATGGGATGTTATAAATTACTCAAAGCCAACAAGATTTAAAATTTAGATGAAATGGAGAAATTAATTGAAAGGAGATTCTATCAAACCTGACACATAGTAGAACAGAACATTTAAATGTGTATGTACATATTAAATATATTAAATTTAATTGTTTTAAATCTTCACACAAAACTTCACATGCAGGTGATTTTCTGTATTAATCCTACTATATATTTTTAAAAAATAAGATGGAAGGAACTGGTCAAATGTTAACGAATTTTGTAAGTGTGAATGGATAAAACTATCCTATTCATGGACAGAAGCTCAACAATTGAGGCTACAAATCAAAGGCCACACTTTTGTACATATATGGGAGATCAACTTAAAATTAAAAGAGAAAGTTTGGAAATAAAAATGGAAAATAGTTATTCTGAGAAACAGCTTACAGAAAAAAGAAAGCAGCAGTAATATAAATTTCTGACAATACAGAATTCAAATGCAAGGCATTCAACATGACAAAAAGCCTATTGTGGTTCAGTCACAAAGAAAGTTTAACAACCATAAATCTTTGTGCACTCCAGCATCTCTTTGAAGTAAATAAAGAGAAACTATTAAAATGTTCAGATATATTGACAAATCCACAATCCTATTTAGAAATCTTAATGCATTCTAAAATTGACAGACTAAATTGAGTCAATAAGTCAGCCCACTGGGGATTTGACTAACTCTTCAGGCCCTCTGAATAGATATATTTAGAGAACATGCTTTGTTTCCAGAAAAATAGAAAACACACATCATTTTTAGAAAGCCATAAATCATCATACAAGTAGAGCCTGTTTATCACAACCCAGAAGAAAAATAAACTGTCAAAGTGTAAATAATAAGCACAATCTCTGATCAAATCTGTTGAAATTAGAAATAACAAGAACAGACCAAAAATAGTCTCTTTGTAGAATTTATAAATTAGACTTCTGAATTACTCTTGTATTAAAAGAAAATTGAAATTGAAATTACAGTCCTTTTAGAAAAGAATGACAATTGAGTAGCTATAAATCAAAGCTATGGGATTTGGCTAAAGCAGTAATTATAGGAATATTTATGTGCTTAAATACATTTATTAGAAAATATAAAAGATTGGCAACAAGTGACAATTAAGCAAAAGAACAATTTAAGTTTAAATAAAGAAGGAAAGATATTTTTAAATTTAAGTCAGAAACTAATAATCTAAAAAACTATCAGAATGCATCGACTTTAATAATATTCCGAAAGCTTTAAGAAAATCAACAAACATGCAAAGTTTCAAAAGTCTGATTTAAAGAAAAAAGATAAAAATAATATTTAGTACAAAAAGAAATAACTTTAAATATGAAGACTTTAAAATTTTTAAGAGACTAATATAATTTTACATTTGAACATCTAAATAAAATGGATAATTTTCTAGGAAAATTATCAAAATTTACTTTAAAAATAAAACCAGTAAACATGACAGAAATGTGACATATCTACTTCTAATCATGGGTCAGAAATGTAATTTCATGAACGCAAACGTCACCCACACAACTTAATAGAGAGATAGCTTTTAGGCAAGTCTCCTAAGATATCTGAGTCTCAGTTTCTCATCAATAAAAAGAGGTGATAATATTAACTGCTATCCAGGAGTAAATTAACTATACATATGAAGTCCTTAGAAGAGTGTTTGGCATGTAGTAAATGATCTATGGATGTTAATTTGCATCATTGTATCATCATATCAGCACCATCACCTCATCAGACAGATGGTTTTATAGTTGAGACAAATCAAACCTTCAATAAATGATTACTCGTTTGTTATCAGTTTTGGATCTAAGAAAAATAAATAATGTTTCTGAACTTAACCTTATGAGGCTGGCATTACCTTAATATTTAGAAGGAACCAAGTGAACATAGACTCAAATGAAATTCTTGAGAGCTTATTTTATAAGAATAAAATGGATGAGAAAGATGGCAAACAAAAGTTCAGCAGATGAGTTACCGTGCCCCTCTTTCCATCCCTCTGACGTGTGCACTGCTTCACAGTCCCCTCCCTCCTCACTGTCTGTCTAAGCATGAGTCTGAGCGTGTGTAGGGGAGATGATAAGGCTGGGGCAACTGGTGGTAGTCAGAGCCTCTGTGGTCTCTGACCGGAGTCTAAGGACTGGAGTGATGTCTTAAGGAAGGATGTTCTAGAAGGTAAGAAGACAGACAGTGCTTATCTCTACTAAACTGTAAGCAGTTAAAAATATGGTTGACAACTTACTCATCTTTGTAACATTGGAACCCAGCACAGATGCATGAGAAGAGTCAATAATATAGGTGTGTTTGGTATATTAATACCTTCCCACTAGAGGTTTATTTCAATTTGTTGGTGACTTGCATCTAGATCTTCCATCTGTCTGTTGACATTCAGGTATTGCTACTCTTCTCAGTATCTTCTCTCTCCTCAGTTTCTCCGGCCAGTGTCATTGGCATGAGTTTTATTATGGTCTCAGACACACCTGACCTCTCCTTGGATGTTCCATTTGAATTTCATTTTTTATTATTCATTGTAGTTCTGCTTTTTTGATACCCTCCAACCCCTTTTACCTTTGGAATAAATGAAGGCTTAAGAGGCTTTAATTTTTAATTTTTTAAAGGACCGCTCAGAAATGTATATAATTCTTATAAAGACTTGTAACCTGTTTGATAGCATAATCTATAACTCAGTGGGCATATTGTTCACATGATCATAGAAAGACGATCAAAGACGATTCATTGACTCGTGCAAGAATGTAAAAGTCGTAGCCTGGAAAATCTTGGGAGGATATCAGAAAACATTTAGATGCATTTATTTTTTAAGGAAGTTGAATATGGTTGGATTGTAGTGGGGAGGGTGAAGATTCAGTGTTTCTTAAGTAAGAATGCTCTGGAATAGCAGCTGCCAAAACAAGGGAAGAGGACAGAGATAGAAAGTGCTATTTGCTTAGGTGAGTCCAAAAATTATCATTTTTAATAAAGAACTGTGGATAGGGTGATTTATTAACAAGTCAACCAGACTCAACTGTGGACATAGTTTTCTGTGGACATATTTTCGGTTTTGTTTTACATTCATTTTCATTTCTCAAAAAATTTAGTGAGGATTGAAGTCCTCATTTAATTAAGTCCTGAAGATATTGCTGATGGCTTTCCAGGATAAGAGAAACTCTCCCCACACTAACCCATTCTTTTCTGTTTCCTGGTAGAACCTCCATCCTCGGGATCTCCTTTGGAGCTGCGTTTCTCCTGCTTGCCTTTATCCTTTTTGTCTGCTTTGCTGGACAGCTTTTGGTAGGTACTTCATATATTGAACTTTTTTAAAAACTGCTCATTGAATGAAAACTGATTTCTTAATTAACACAGGGAGGTTGTCAACTTACCATTTCAAGATATACAGATCTCAGTAAAGAAACATGTGTCCTTCCTGTCATCTGCCAAAAATACAAACTGACACAGCTCACACACAACCAAGACACTAATCTGAAGATTATTTGAGATGTTGAATGTCACATCATAAAATTGTAATTAGGTCCACTTGCTTCTGTCAGCAATTTTTATCATCTTCTCAACATTTTCAGAGTATTTATAACTGTGACTATATAGGTATAATGGGAGACTTTTAGTATACAGGAGAATTAAAACTCAAACCAAATATATCTTTTATATCAACTTTCCAAATATAAAATCTTAGAATATCAAAATAGCAAATGTAAAAATATTTTTTAGTATTTTAATTTAAGGCAGTCATTGCAAACTCTTATGGTTTAGATGCTAGTTCTGGATATAAAAAGTAAATCTACTTGAGTCTAAAGCAATGAGAGCATCCTAAGAAGGCCAGCAATGTGATAGAAGTCACAAAAGAGAGCTGATGTTCCATGTTGTTCATTGGAGATGGGTTGAAAGAGGAGAGGCCACTTTTGAACAGAGTTCATGGGCATCCTCTGTGGAGACACTTCCCTTACTTTTGTTAACCAAAATGTTAATGTCACAAATAGTTAGTTACACATAATAAACAGGAATAATCCTTAAAATATCTGCCAATGAATGAATGCATTTTATGAGATGTGTGAGGTTAAGGAATTTTCCTATTTCTGAAGTCATGATTTTTTCTTCCAATTAGAGTTTGACAAGAGCAAGTAGATGACACAACCACGGAAGCAGACCTAGTGTGCAGGGCTCCTGGTCACTTCTCAAGGTTGTGCTACGCCCATAGGAGGCACTGTGGCTTCTAGGAGAGCACTTCTCTCATTCTACCTGGTTTTACACTTTTCATGTGTTTCTTCACTGTAATGTCATTTTGCTTCTTAAAGACATATGGTAATATTACCTCCAGCAACATCAGTACAGTGACAAAATGGCCTCTTATGGTTGTATTCTAGTCTGTGTTGAAATATTTTGCCCTAAAAGTGCTAAGATTGCAAAGCATGTCTCTGTCTCCACTGCTGGCCTCCTCTGCCTTGTACCTTTACAAACTTGTGTGGGTTTCTATTTGCTGGATCATAGTTTAGATTATTTAAATTGGTTTGGAAACTCTCCAACAAGTGAGACTATGGTTTCTGATTTCCTGGCATGCACACAGCATCTCTTAAAAATCCCCTGAAGATACAAGAGGTTGTAGAGAATAGAGGATTGGGCAAATATTGACCCATACAAATCCTTGTCAAGTTCTAAAATGCTTCGTACACAAAGAAGCCTGATTTCCTACGTTCAGATTTTTCTTGGGTGGAAAGCATTTGGCTCCACCCTCTGTCTTCCTGGACTCCAGATCCTTCTTGGAAGCCCATTTTTTTAAGTCTATAGAACAGGAACTGTCATTTGTTCTTCTGTTGAAATCTAAACCTCATTGCAAAGCACCTTATATTATTTTGCCTCAATAGCCATAGTTCTCATTTTCTAGTCCAAGGCATCCATTTGTGGGATAAAGGGATCATCTTATATAATAAAATGCTAATATGCAAAATGACCATCACTCCAACACACAATATGCCCCCCCCATGTGGACACAAGATGGCCACCACAAATAGTCGGCAGGGGAGGGCAGTTGTGGGCAATCAGGCCAGCAGGGAAGGGCAGTTAAGAGTGACTGAGTTGGCAGAGGAGGGCAGTTGGGGACGACAAAGCCTGCAGGGGAGGAAAGTTGGGAGAGGATCTAGGCCTGCAGGGGATGGCAGTTGGGGGGCACCAGGCCTGCAGGGGAGGGCAGTGGGGGGAACCAGGCATTCAGGGGAGGGCAGTTAGGGGGAACCAGGCCTGCAGGGGAAGGGCAGTTGGGGAGAACAGGCCTACAGAGGAGGGCAGTGGGGGGAACCAGGATTGCATGAGAGGGCAGTTGGGGGGGACCAGGCCTCCAGGAAAGGGCAGTTGGGGGGGGGGAGCCCTGCAGGGGAGGACAATGGGGGGAACCAGGCCTGCAGGGGAGGGTAATTGGGGGGAACCCAGGCCTACAGGGGAGGGCAATTTCAGGGACTAGCCTTGCTGGGGAAGGCAGTTGGGGGAACCAGGCTTTCAGGGCAGTTGAGAACAACTAGGCCTGCAGGGGAGGGCAGTTAGGAGTGACCAGGCCAACAGTGGAAGGAAGTTAGGGGCAAACGGACTGGCAGGGGAGTGCAGTTAGGGGTGACCAGGGCAGCAGGGGAGGATAGTTATGGGTGACCAGGCTGGTAGGGGAGGGCTGTTTGGGGCAATTGGTCTGGCAGGGGAACAGTTAGGCATGGGTCAGGCTGGCAGCTAAGTGGTTAGGGGCAATCAGGCAGGCAGGCAGGCAGTTGGGAGCAAGCAGTTCTGGATTGTGAGAGGGATCCCAGATTAGAGAGGGTGCAGGTTGGGCTGAGGGATACCCCTCCATGCACAAATTTTGTGCACTGGGCCTTTAGTAGTGTATATTTAGGTTTACAAGTTGAATTTTTTTCTTCCCACTAAGTTTCTGTAGAAAAAGAACACGGGGCTGGAGACTGAAAAAAATGAATCTGCAGAGCAACTTTGGTGTCTGTGTGGGAACGGTCTGCTCTCATGAAGTCTCCCCTCTCGGCCTCAGTATAATCCAACCTCACTGTTAAACTTTTCACAGCTCTTGATTCCTCCTGTACCCACCCTGTGGTCCTTCAGGGCGACGGAGAGAGAGCCCCACACGCACAGTGCCTGCTTCCTCCAGTTCTGGGAGTCAGAGGGGGACGACTTTTCAGACCTTGACACTCACATACCAGATGCTCAGGAGTTCTTTTTAACTCTTTGTTGTCTCAAAGAAAAATTTCAAGGCTGCAGATGAACTGGTGCCTGCCTCATCCTCACAAGAAGCCTACCTATATTTTGACAAAATGGTCAGGAAGGTTGGACTTAAACACAGATTGGTCTTTCTAAACTTGAATCAGTAGGATCCGCGAATGAGTCTCCCCCCAGTGGCCAGCTGGAATCCTTGATCCAGAGGTAATCCTGGTAAAATTCAAAAAAGAATTCTTCTCATTCCATTAAGAGATTTCTTTTACTATTTATGTGATTCTCTAAAGATTTTTTTTAATCGTGAACATCAAATATATTAATTCACAGCCAATCTAAGAAGGCTTTCTGTATGCTTTCTATTCCACCCTCTAAATTCAAGCAAAATCTATGCATAGCACAAATACTCCTTGGTGATCTTAGAGAATACATTGCTACATCCTAACTGCCCATTCCTGGCCTCTTGAAATCCTACCAAATTGTATGAGGTTTTATTATGCTTTGCATTTAATTATGGATTAAATACTGAGTTTATGAAAAAATACTTAATAAGCCAGACTCACCTTCTGGTAACTTATGTTAACTTTCTGAAAATGTAAATGTCAAAGGTATTATCCATACTAATATTGATATTAAATTCTTTTTATGAAGAATTAAAGTAAAATACTTTCATATAAAGGAGGTTAATAGAAAGTGTGCCTGGCTTATATTTTTCCACCAAAAGCTTTACCTTTGTTACCCTTTGTTATACAAAAGATATATGGCAAATAAATATGGCTAAGTTTGATTTTTTTTAATGGTGGAGAAACATCAAAATGGGGAAAAAATAAAAGTGCTAATGAAATGCAATTTCTTCCCATTGATTAAAAAACCACACAGATGTTCATTCAGTGACACATCCCAATAAAATGTTTCAGGAAATTTGTTAGTGTCAGTATTGCAGTGAGAAGCCCAGTCTGTCCCTCATGCTCACCACTGCTGTAGGGGCTAAGGCAGCCATGCTCTCCCTGCCCTGCCCCCTGTGGCCCACTTCTCAGTTCTTGCCCATGTGGGTCCTCTACACTTGCTGTCTTTCTAGAAAACTTTTCAGAAATGGCCCTGGCCCTTGTGAGGTGTCCTTTTATGAGGTGCATGAGACTTAGGGTCTGTACCACCTAATTTGGCACTTGATTACATGGCTGCTCATTTTGACCCCTTTTTGTGAGTGTGACTGCTTTCTCCCCTGATTTATAACAGGTTCCTTATGACAAGAATCGTTTCCTACACCTGGCTTCCTCTCTCTCAGTGAACCCAGCAGAATGCTAACCACGGAACTGTTTAATAGCATGTGCTAAATCACTGCTGCTGGATTCCTTCATTTCTATATTCCTTCCTCCTCCCCTCCCCCTGATCATGTAGCACCCCAATCCCCTTGTCTCACCAATGCCATCATTCCCAGGGGGCCCTTAGAGCCCATGTTAATCCCTCTTTCTTGAGATATCCTTGCAAGAGCAGGTTCTGTGTGTACAAGAATGTGTGAATGAGAGAGCAGTGGTGACAGTGGCCTCATCTTGCTGCCTTGGAACTCCTTACATGTGCCATGATTCCTTGACTCCGACATGCTTCTGGCTGACTTTTCAGTGGGAAATAATCCTCTAACCTTCCTAACCCAGCTCTGCGGAGTCCACTGCCAGCTTTCCCAGTGCCTGCTGGCTGGGCTTCCTCTTTGGTTTTCTTATTTGTATTATTTTAGATGGAACGATCCTCAGTGAGTTTGCGTCAGCCCTGTTTTCTTCATTGTCGTACTTTAGGCACTTGAACCACAAGATAAATATTTAATATCAGTTAGCTTGAAGGAATGTTGGGTTGCACCCAAATGCAACCTCCTGGCACCACTGCTCAGAAAACGTCCCACCGTGTCCTCACACACCCTCAGTTCTTCCTTTGCTGGCAGCTCTGAATTCAGCTCACCATCGCTGCATCCCTGCTCCCAGTTCTGGCAAGCTGCTGGCCGGGGACCTCCTGGCCCACCACCCTGGAGTCCTCTCATGTCATATCTCACTGGGAGCCTCGGCATCAGTGCCTCCAGAGGCACTTAG